GTTCACTGTAGCGTGCATCAAACAGAGAGGGTCGTTCGGCCGGTTGATCGGTAAGAGCAAATTTCAATCATTTCTGTTACTTCAAAGGGGTCATCCGGTGGGACATCCGGGTGGTCGACTGGGTGGTCGACCCCGTAGTGTAAAATTTTCACAAATTTCTGCTTTAAAGGGATCATCCGGTAGGACATCCGGTCGGACGTCCAGTGGGTCCAACTCAACAACTATGCACAGTGAATTGGTGAAAGGGGCAAGCCATTCTCAGTTTGGTGAAACATTTGATGTTTTCTCAATTTGATACTGCTTTGGTGCAACCGTTGGAGCACAAAAAGCACATTTTTTTCATCAAATTTGAATTTGATGTTGGATTTAGTGAACGGTTGGAGATGGCCTAACTTTAATACATATTGACAATTCAACTTCGTATCATGAACCTGTACACTGCAACTTGCATTTATAGTACTAGCATTGCAATACATAAACCAATCCAAAACACATTTAACAATGCTAAATTCTTATTCACTCACCATAAGCATGCGAGCAACCTGGCATCCAAGTGTACCTGCCCCTAAGAGAAGACACTCTACAGATAAGATGTTTATGTTCAAAGGCGGCAAAGCACACAATCTCATTAGTTTTAAATTTAAATCAGCAACCGATATTGCTAACCTGTAAACATTTTAATCTTTAAATGTTAAGGATGCAAAAGAACAATACTGTTATGGACTATGGAGAGACAGGACAACCTCAAAACATACCTAGTTGGATCAATGGATTTAGCAAGGCTAATACACCTGGGTACCTTCTTCCCTCTATTAAGTTCCCATTCCACGGCATTAGGAATATGTTGATTATCTTTCCATCCTAAAGAAATATTGTTCATGTGTTCAGGAAAGCCAATTCAGAAAACACATTCAACTAAAAAAGAAGATAGTTTTAATTAGAAGAGAGTTGTTACCCAATTTCCATCGCTTTACCTTGTGAAACTGATATCAAGGCTTCACCAATGAGGGACAAGCTCAGATCAGCAAAACCACGATTCTCATGACAACAAAAAAAAGTGAATCCTTTCGAGATTCCATCTTGAACAAATAAGAGCAAGAAAGTTGTGAAGAGGCCAACCAGGGTTACTTGGAAGATGACATGGGTCGTAAAAGCCAAAAAGAAACTGCCAGCAACATGTAACTTAGCTTTGTGGAAGAGACATCTAAAACTTCAACATAATGTCTAACAGGACTCAAGCCATTGAGGAATTAAACAAAGACCGTATTTGGTGCAGCTTATTGAAACTACTTATAGCATTTATTTAGCAATTTGTGCTGAGTATTTGGTGTAGTTTCTGCTTATAGCCTATGAGGTAGAAATAGCTTAAATAAGCTTAAAAAGGTGATGATGTGAAAGCTTAAATTCTACTTTCTGATTATCAACTTTCAACTTGAGAAAAGCTGCTTCAAACAGGCCCAAACTGTCTTATTCATTTCAATTAGCAAAAACTAGTATAAGTTTACAAAAAATGCGAAGTATGTGGACATACCTTATGGGAATCATGTTGGTAGGAATCCCAGTCCTTCAGATGCTTGATAGTAGCATGTGAATTTCAATCAAAAAAGACCCAAAAAAGCGGCACATCTACGGCAATCTCATATGCTTTAGGTTCTCCACATAAAGTGCAAACAAAACAAACTGCAGACAATTAAGGTATAATAACTCGGGACATTTTACCTGCCGTTGCGCTTGAGCTACGCCACTCATTACACGCTGCTGATACCAATTCAGCCTATACCCCACAACAATAACCTTGGTGTCAAAATTGATATGAAAAGTCAAATACAGTACTTACAAAAAATACTAACATTTGCCTCAGCTCCTCTAGGCTGAGGCACGTGGAAGCTGGCCTCAAATCAACCTAGGTTGCAGGAGGATCAAGCGACAGAGAAAGGAAAGCAAACCAGTAATGAAAGGTCCACTTTTTAAGGTCTGCAAATGATATAAGAAGGAACCTTGAAAGTACTGCACTGTCCTCCTCAGCCTTTCCAGAATGAATCTCCTCCCAAATCTGATATTCAATGAGATATATACTTTTAACAAGAGAAGCATATTTTAACATTTCAGCCAACCTGTTTTTCCAAGATTACAAGTAGGGGTGTTCAAAAAGACTGATGGACCGGACCGGACTAATCAAAATCAGACTGTTTGGTTTGTTTTTTTGGAAGGATGGTAAGATTTCGGTTCAAAGAAATTAAGAACTATTGCTAACAGTTCTGTTCATGGAGTAAGACTCTAAAGAACCGGAATTGTTCCTCATTCTAATAAAATTGTATTTTTTATTATAATTAGTATATAATATAAGAATTTTCGGTTCTTTACATGTTTTACAAAAGTTGGTTCGGAGAATATTCTAAGATTTTAAAGTATGCTTGTTAATGTTTTGAAATATATATATATCGGTAGAATCATTTTTTCATTAAACTTGATATTCTGGATATAGGAATTAATTTTCTCGCCTTAAATTGTGGAACTGAACTGGAACCAAACCACTTTTGCGATTTGTTTCTGGTTCAGTTCCAAAAATTTTGGCCTTGTTTGGTTTGTATTTGGGAAACATGTTTTGAGATAAAAAGTACGAAAATTTGTTTGGTTTGATTTTTTTTCAAAAGATGTTTTGAAAAATTATTTTGAGAGAGAGTTTTGGAAAAAGTGATTGATTTGATGGGTATGAGAGAGATATTTGTTTGGAAAACTTATAAACCAAACAAGCTTTGGAAAAAAAATTTGAAAAAATTTGTTTGGTTTGATTACTTTTGAAAACTTATTTGTAGAGAATTTTTTCAAAATTTTTTGAGAAACACAAACCAAACAAGGCCTGAGTTTTTTGGTTTTCGTGTTTTTTTATTTTTAGTAAATATTTTTAAAATTTTAAACATTTTTTTTTACTTTTTTAGATGCACTTTACTTAGATATATCTAAAAAGTAAAAAATTTGTGAAAAAATATTTTTAAAAATTAATAAATATAAAAAAATACAAAAAATATACTGAATTTTCGTATTTTTTTTATATTTTTGATATTTAGTGAATTTTTAAAAGGTTTTTTTCAATTTTTTTTTACTTTTTAGGTATATTTATGTTAGGTATGTCTAAAAATTAAAAAAATTGCTCAAAATATTAAAAAAATTTAGTAAAAATAAAAAAATAAGAAAAATAAGAAAGTAAAATTTTGTAAAAAATATTTTTAAAAAATGTTAAGCAAGCATATGCTATGAGCATGTGAGTGTCTCTAGTTGGTTTTACTGTTTATTTCGTGTCAAAAGTGTTGAAAATGCCGAGGCACAAAACAAAAAGTTTTAACGGCACAAAACAAAAAGTTTAGGACAAATTACATATACACCCCTCGAGGTTTGGCTAAATTGCAGATACCCCTGAGGTTTCAGAAATTACGAAATTCCTCCTGAATGCTATATTTGTATAAGAAATTAGGGGGTAATTTATTATGAAATATAAACCTCAGGGGGCAAATTGTTATGAAAATACAAACCTCAGGGGGCGGGATGTAATTTCTGAAACCTCAGGAGGATATCTGTAATTAAGCCAAACCTCGAGGGGTGTATATGTAATTTGTCCAAAAGTTTAACAAACGATCACAAATATGGGACAAAATGACGGAAAATGTTTTTTTTTTTTTATTTTTTAAGGGGTTGTTTAGGGTATCCTAAATAAGTGTACTTTTTGTCTTTTTAGACTAAAAAGTTGAGAAAAAAAATATAGATGTTTGGGTTAACTTTTTGACTTTTTATGAAAAAATATGTAATAAAAAATTGTAAAAATTGGTTTGTAGAGGAAAATTAAAATTGGAAGTTGTGCAGCCGTAATTGTTGACTTTTGGTAAATAGTGTTAACTTTTTAACTTTTTGAGTAACTTTTTGACTTTTTGACTTTTTTTTAGTATCTCAAACTTGGCCTAAGTCTTACCAACGGTGCTAGCTTACCACCACCACCACTAATATCCTATTATTACCACTACCAATAACACTATTAGTACATTAGTTTAATCAAATACAAGAAAATATTTTTCACAAAGTATTTTTTTAAAAAATGTAGAAAATATTTTCTGTCAAACCAAATATAATGTGATTGAGCTTGCTTGGTTAGGTTTTTCAAAAAACACTTTTCAAAAAATTATACTTTCTTGTTTTTTGTATTTTTTTGGTTTTATTGAATTTTTTTAATACTTTAAGCAATTTTCTTACTTTTTAAACATAGATAACATAAATATACTTAAAAAGTAAAAAATATTGTGCAAAAAACTTAAAAAAATTTATTAAATACCAAAAAAACAAAAAAACAAAAAAAAGTGGAAATCAAGACCATATTCCAAGTTACTCAAAACTAAGAAGACAAGAAAATGTTGCTTGTTTTGTTACCTGTGGTCATGATAGCGGATTTGATCGCTGCAGGAGACCAATTGGGGTGGAATGATTTCACGTAAGCAGCTACTCCAGCGACGTGTGGACATGACATGGAAGTCCCAGACATTAGTGTAAATTTTGAATGAATTGTGTCACCTTTTAACCCTGTAAGTGACTTCATAGGGGTATATGATGCTAAAATGTCTATGCCAGGTGCTGCAATATCAGGCTGTTCCATCACAAAATTTAAAAAAAAAAATAAAATAAAATAAAAAATGAGGTTCAGTAAAGTACTAGGCATGGTTAAGGATAAGCTAAGTCTATGAATATACCTTGAGGAGGTGGTTTGACCATGGATTTGGACCCCTAGATGAAAAGGAAGCAATGAATGGAGCTGGGATTTTAACTTCTTGGGACTTGTATATCACTGCTGATGGTGATCTGAATTGGACAAGAAAAGTGAATTGTTTTCTAACAAGGCACTGTAAATATTTAAAATCTTGGAATTAGACAGTTTGAATAAGACTTTTTATTTATTTATTGGGCATGTCTAAAAATTAGATTTTAGCGGTACATTACCGATCTCATAATAATATTTTATTCATAGAAATAAAAGATTCTCCTCGTTGGATTGGAAAATGTAAAATGTAATTTAGACTCACAGATCTTACTTTGATGATTCGATTTGTTCATTTTATAAGCTTATGGATAAATTATTTATGAAAAAAATTCAAATTGATCCAATAATTATAATCACATAATTTAATTATATTTTTCTTAAAAATATGAGTAGTCTATTTCCAAAATCATACTTATCCATTTTTAAAATCAAATATGATATTATCAGTATGATTATTGGATAATATATTTTTTATGATTTATCTATAAATATGTACAAAATGAATAGATTGAATATCATAATGGAGTCTGTGGTGTGCCCAAATGCCTGAACGAATTCATTCCGCTTGAGAGAAGCTCCCCCCCCCCCCCCCCAAAAAAAAAAACATTAATTTGGCCAACAGTATTATTACGTTGTGGTGTTGATATATTCGCCAATAGTGTCACTTATGGTGGTATTGACCGCAGTTGCTGGTGCCATGAAAATTTGGGCATTGTCTAGATATTCTTCAGTTGCAATGATGGCTCCAATCCCTCCAAATCCTTTTACTACTGACTCGAGTCCCCACATTCCTAGTTTGCATAGGACTAGTCACTACAGGAAAAATGGTGTATAGCAACGTTTTTTTTGTGGCGTTTAGGAAAACGCCACTATAAATTCACGAAACACAACGTTTTCAAAAAACGTTGTGTCTGACCTCAATGAAACGGTCCCCACATTCCTAGTTTGCATAGGACTAGTTTTCCCTTCACCTTGTGAGGATCCATTGACTCTTGAGAACAGTACCTTTGCAACATGGTAAAATATATTTAATGAGAAAAATCTATTCTTAAATATTATTAATAAGAAATTATAAGAATGACATGATAATATTATTTTTAAAAATAGAAAATGTTAGATCCTAAAAGATTTATCAAAATTTTTGATAGAAATTTTAGTAAATATTTTAGGATCTCTAATATTACTCTTTAAAAATTTAACACATGTTGTTTGCTTTAAAATAAGGTGTCATGTCATTTTGTATTGCTTTTCAATACTACTATATTTGTTTGTGCGATATTCTCTGTGCTTAATATCAACAATGTTATGTACTCATAAAATATTCTAAAAAAAATGATACAAGTTTAAAATATGTGGATTAAATTTATTTTGGATATGAATCTCAGGGCCGGCCCTAAGATTTAGGGAGCTTAAAGCGAATTTCGGAAATGGAGGCCCCTCTTAAATTGAAAAAAAAAAAAGTTAATGGAAAAAATAATAAGTTATAACTTTTTTATTTGTTTGTAGTTACAAAAAAATTTACTTGCGTATATAATCATTAAAATTATAAACAAAACAATTTAATAAAACAAAATTAGGAAAAAATTATTTAATTAAAACTAATAAAGACATAGGTAAAAAAATTAGGGCAAAATTATTTGTTCCACTAAAATCTAATAGATAAAGAAGGTAAAAAAAAAAGAAAAAGCCCATATATTGTACGTATTATTCTTCTTGTTCCCAAACATTTTTTTTAATATATATTTTTATTTTAATAAATATGGGCCAAGCTACATTTATAAATAAATATGGGCTAAACCATACTTAGACCCAATAAAATATTTTAGAGCCCTTCAAATTGATCCTAAAACCCCCCCTCCCAAAAAAAAAAAAGTTGGGCCTAAAACATTTTACTAAATTTAGTACCCTATTTTTGGGCCAAAATTTTGGGGTTTAAGGCACAGGATTTACTGGCCTTAGGCCAGGGCCGGCCCTGCTGAATCCACCACACTAATTTTAAATTTACAACATAAATTAAAAATTTTAAGTTCTGAATTAATACTTTCTCTTCAATAGTTTTGCCATTTCTCAAATGCATGATTAGTAAATTAATTTAGTACCTTGCATCGTCTGGGCTTGCAGAGTTTTTGGCAACAGCATCACCTCCAACGAGAGGGTACAATTTTGGCTTTGGGTCAAATATGTTCACCCCAATCCCCTGCATATAAAACACATGCATATTTTCACCATGTAAAAAAAACAAAAAAAAAGAAAAAAGAAAGAAGAACACTACAAAAAATTAAAGTTTTAGAGATCAAAATTAAGGGATAATTTTTTTTGCTTTGAGGCAATGTTGAACACATAAATCAAATACAGAATTAGATATAAAACATACGAATACGAATGAATAAAGTCTTATAAGATTTATTTATGGGATTCACTTTTCAAAAATTGTATCCATCTATTTATCTTCTTTGTGTAAGTATGGGATATTTTGGGATTTTTCTATTTTATTTTCTTTGTCATATCTTCATGTCGTCACAAAAAAAATAAAATAATAATAATATAATAAAAAATAAAAAACTTACTGAGACGGTTTTGCCACTTCCCAACACAACATTGCTCCTGAACTGCCGATCGATGCCGCTAGCGGCCACTGTAAAGATCCACGGAGCATTGTTTGCCACCGTAGCCTTCCTCGGCCCATCATTTCCAGCAGAAGCAACGGTTATGATCCCTTTTCTCATAGCATGAAACGCCCCAACCGCTATTGAGTCCGTCACGTAATCCCCCCAGAGGGGGAGGACTCCGATGGAGATGGAAATGACATCGATGCCGTCATTAATGGCGGCGTCAAAGCCCGCCAGGATGTCCATGTCGGAGCAACCGGAGCTAGCCCAACAAACCTTTTTTTTATTTTATTTTTGTTTTATCAGCCAGAAAAAAAGTCTTTTATAAATGCAAGGAAAAACTTCATGTACATACAAGAATAAATTAAAATTTTATACGAAATTAAATATTTAAGTAATACATTACTATATTTTTTTTGATGAAAACTTTGGTCTCTAAATGACATCAAATTATTTGATCACTAAAAATGCACTTATTAGTGACATTTTAAAATTTTGTTGTAAATTTTTTTCTTTTGTTGACTTTTTGATATGATTCAAATAATGATTGAAATTGGTCTCCTAATATTTTTTAGGATAAATTACAAACACACCTCTTAAAATTTACTTAAATTACAAATTACTCTCTGTAATTCTAGAAATTACATTATGCCGCCTAAGGTTTTTAATTTCATAACAAATAGATCCTTTTATTAATAAATCATCAAGTTAATTAACAATTTTTAATAATGTTAAAATTTTATTTCAATTAATAATTCAGATAATTTTATTATTGTATAGATGAACAATTAGAAATTTTATTTTTTTTAATTAATTTTATTAAATAAAAATTTTTGACAATGAGGTATTTGTAATTTTTCAAACCACAAGGAGTAATTTGTATTTTAAGCAAATCTCAAAGGGTGTATTGGTAATTTACCCCCCCTTTTTTTTAACTAACGCTAGGTTTGGCAAGTCTCAAAAAATTCAAAAAGTCAAAAAGTTATACAAAAAGTAAAAAAGTCATTACTATTCACGAATAAAAAATATTAAAAAAAATTTTATATATTTTTATAATACAAAAGTTTGAATTACACTGTCAGCCGTACTGCCCCAAGAGGAAGGCAAGTCATACACTTTTTGGGCAAAAAAAAAAAACATAGGTAAAGCCACAAAGTTTGATGGTAATGTTGGGCTCTTGGAGGCCCAATAAGGGTTCCGTTTTGATAATCCGAACCGTTCAATATGTAGAGCTCGTCGGGTACTATATGCTTGTAAAAAATTATATTAATCGGATATCGTTAACTATATGATCAAATCAGTTTTATATAAACAAAACGGATGGTGTGATAGTTAGCTGTTGAAAAAAATTAATTCGATCATATAGCTATCGATATCCGACCAACGTGATTGTTTACAAGCATATAATACTCGACGAGTTGTACATATTGGACGGTTCAGATTATTAAAATGGGACCCATGGTGGCTTCCACGGACCGATCATCACTATCCAAACACTTTGCCCCGAAGAAGGCAATAATTTACTGCGTAAGACGCGCTGCCCCAGCAGGACAGTTGTACAACCTACTCAACTTTCTTCTCCTATACACTTTATTTATACAATTTTTTATTACACATTTTTTCATAAAAAAATAAAAAGTTAATCCAAACATCCAACTTTTTTTTTTCAATTTTTTAGTTCAAAAAGATAAAAAGTACACTTATTTAAGACACTTCAAATAATCCCTTAATATTTACTTTTCATGACAAGAAAGTTTTGTCCCAAAAACCCTTACATGTTGATTTGTCCCACGTACATGATGATTTCAATTTGAATTGAATGATATGAAGGGAAAATAAAAGAAACGAAATGAAAAGAATTTAACTTTTTGTTTGGTAAGTTAGCTTGTGGTTAAAATAGTCATAAATGACAAAATAGGTTATTTTAATCACAACAAATAAAATATCACCTTCAACCCATAATTCACTTTTTTTCTCACAAAAAAATTAAAAAAGTCAAAAAATTCTTCCCAAACCAAGCTTTTTAGCCCAGGCTAAAGTCAAAAAGTCAAAAAATCAACCCACTTCCCAAACGGAGGCTAATTTAATCCCTTGCTTAGATTGCCAGATAAGAAAGAAATGAGGAGAAATTGAAAGAAATTAATTTATCTTATAATCCAATTTTTGAATGGACAAAAGAGAAAATAGAATGATTACTAATTTTTATATAATATCAAAATTATTCATCTAGGTATTAAAGAAATAGAAACATAAAATATTATTTTAGTATTATATAACCTTTTAATTTTTTTATGTGGTCGAGAAAAACTACTATATTTCCTTTTTTCTCTTTAGCTTAATCAAACAAAAGGAAAATAAAACACAATTTATTATCTTTTCTCTCCTAACTTAATAAATCTTTTCTTCTTTTTTTTTTTCTTCTTTCTCTCCTAGATTAAAAAAAAATAAAAAAAACATGTTGACAGGAAGTGAACAAGACAAGCAAAAGGAAAGGCAACAGACCTTGTAAGCAGCAACCCTAGCAGAGGGCACAGCCCCACGAGCAGTGCCTTTGGCAAGGCCAAAGAGGCTTGCACCTGGGACTAGGTTTCCAGCTAGGGTTGAGGAGGTGTGAGTTCCATGGCCATCCACATCTATGGGTGAGAGTATGTCACTTGGGTCTTCATTTCCATCTAGCTTGAAGTACTTGGCTCCTATAAGCTTGCTTTAATAAAATAATAAATAAATAAATAATTAGAGGTTAAGCCGTGCATCGATTGATATATAGAAGCATAGAAATATGTACAATAAACATTGTGCATGTATATATCATTTACAAGTTATGATCCAAAATTATTATCGGTTATGAATCATTATGATGTTTGGTTATAGATTATTGTGATAGTGACGTGAACTAATTGTTAAAATAAAATTAGTTATCTCATTCCAGTGTTTGGTCTACAATCATTTGCAAATCATATATATCAATTAAGTTATACACAATTAAAAGTTGAACCAAAACATCCATGTTTACGACTGACTCATAATTCAACTTTTAATATGAGATATATGTTAACCATTAATATGATCTAATCTTTAATTTTTAGAGCAAAGGTCATTATTTAAAAGAATGTTTGCTTTAATAAACAAATCCTACCAACGTATATACAGATATATAAAATAAGAGATAAATTTTAAAAAAATAATAATAATAACAATATCTATTGAATACAAAACAGAATCCAACTGCAAATTATGGGAGAGGTATATAAAAAATTCTTGTGATGTCAATAGCAGTTTGCTTTTTTAAGGAAAATCCTTTAATCGCCTCGTTTGGTTTAGTTGTTAAAACAGCTTATAGATTATAACTTAACAGATTATAGATTATGACTTTAATCAGAAGTTGTTAATCTGTTTGGTATAGCTGTTGGATTATAGATTTAAGATGCTGAGTAATGTTTGTCAAATAAGCTGTGAAATAGCTTTTTCAATTAATTTTTATTTTTTGTTTGTCTACATTTCTCATAAAAAATAATAATATTAATCTATAATCCATTTGAGTCTTTTTCTATTTTTAAAAAAATAAAAAATAAAAAAATTTAAGAGGATAATCATAAATTAACATGTTCACAGCAGAAGCTGATAATCAGAAATAAGGGGTGAGCAGCTTCTCAGAATCAGCTTTTTTGAGTTAAAAAAAACTGTTAAAATCAGAAGTTGTTTGAAATAAGTTTAACCAAACAGTCTAAAATAACTTTTTTAAAGCTAAAAGTCATAAATTGACTCTGAAAAGCTGAAACAAACACCCCCAATAACAAACAACCAAAGGTCTAACAACAATAGCTGACCTTAAAAATGCTAGACTACTATGGTCCAAATTTAGTTTCCTCTGTTTCACACTCTACTATTTTTAGTCTATCTGTTGAGCTGAGCGACTCTAGTACCTGTTTATCCACTTTGTGATCTAACATAGATTAGCTATATCAAAAATGTTAGGAATTCCAAAAAAAAAAAATTTCAAATTTTTTATGTATATATATTGTAAGATAACTGGCATCAAATGCAATTTTGTGGTTCTAATTTTGTCACAAATATAGAAATTAAATTATAGAATATACATAACAAGATTTTATAAAATTTATTGGCGAGATCAAAAAATTCTATCCATTCATATATATTTTATGTCATATTCTGTTATCGATTTATGTGTCTTTAGACTTATTCGTGTGGCTCTTATCTTAAAATTATTTAATTTTCTTTTTCTAGTATATCAAGGTTGTATTGTAATGTAAGAGAGGAGAAAATCTTTGCCTATCGCAAGATTTGAACCGTCAACCTCTATTTAACTTCCTCTCTAAAAAAAACTCCATTTAACTTATTTAACAAATAAATAACTAAACTTATTTAATGGGAGACAATAGTTAAAAAGATATGCAATCCATACATGCATGCATTATCTCTTGGTCTCCATTACGCTCCACTTGTTTTATTGACTAAAACAACGGAGAGACTTTGGCAACACCACATTGGTCAAGTCTTTCCATTCTTTTCATTCAATAATAAAAAATTTATAATTGAACTATAATCAAGGATGAAATTAAGATTTCATTACTAGAGAGGTCGAAAAAAAAAACACAATATACAATACACATGTATGTATAATATGATATATAAATTACATATATATAGAAAAAAAATTAAATATCATAGAAGTAATTTCTAATAGGATAAAAAAAAAAATTTGCTGCAAAACAAAAAAAGAAAGCAAGATAGGAGAATAATAAGATATATATATATATATATAATTTATACTAGAGGTTCATTTTATGTATAAAATGATATATATTTACGGAAATAAAGAGATCATGACTACCATAATCTTTTTCTAATTTCATCCCTGATTATAATCTTACCTTGACCACTCAAGGTGATTAATTGTTGGTTAGGTGTTACCACACAATTTAATAAAATAAAATAAATTAGCATAGTGGTTTGAAATGAGTTAATTAGTGCCTATTGAAATGATGAAGACAACTAATAAATATGAAAATGACATGAACTAATATTTACTTGTTGCACCCTGAAAAATTGGCAAAGTGGCCACAGCTTCCTTTCCATTTGGCTGGTGGAGGTCCGAATCCATTGTCTGCAAAGCTCTCTGACTCTGGAGTGATCCCTATATAACCACGCCAATAGACCTTGTTAACTTAAAATAACAAAAATAATAATTTTACGGACACAGAATTTCATAATTAATTACAAAAAAATAATGTTATTGTTTTCACTCATGTTATTCTATCTATATTAATGTGATTGATTTTGTATTCGTATAATAATTGATAATAAAAATACCAAACTTTTCATCATAACTCTAAGACTTGTTGATTTAATTTAACGTTGTGTTTATTTTGATGAATTTTTTTTTAAAAAAAATTTCTTGTGAAAATGTCTTCTTATATTTGGTTGCAAGTTTGAAACTAATGTGTTAGAGATTGTGGTTATGGTGCTAGTGATAGAGGTGCTGGGGGTAGTGACGAAGGCCACAACGGGGATGGTGGTGGTGGTAGGGGGAGGTGGGCGATAGTGTAGTAGTGGCGTTAGTAAGAATTTAATTCAAAATATTCTTCACTTGTCAAAAGTAAACATATTTTTTATTTAAATAATTTTATTTTTTTTATTAATCATTGAAAATGTTTTTTTGTCTACTTTCATTTTTTGTCACACCAATGTCAGAAACTATGAAAAATATTTACTAGAAAATGTTTCAAGCAGAAAGGAACAGAGCATAAGTACAAAATCCAATAAAATTCTTGAACCTACCTGTATCTGTAGAGGTGCTGGTGGCAGTGACGAAGGCCACAACGGCGATGGTGGTGGTGGTAGGGGGAGGTGGGCGATAGTGTAGTAGTGGCGTTAGGAAGAATTTAATTCAAAATATTCTTCGCTTGTCAAAAGTAAACATATTTTTTATTTAAATAATTTTATTTTTTTTATTAATCATTGAAAATGTTTTTTTGTTTACTTTCATTTTTTGTCACACCAATGTCAGAAAATATGAAAAATATTTACTAGAAAATGTTTCAAGCAGAAAGGAACAGAGCATAAGTACAAAATCCAATAAAATTCTTGAACCTACCTGTATCTAATAGACCCACAATTGTGTTGCTCTCTATTTTTAATTTTCTTCTTGCTGTCATAGGCAACCCAATAAAATCCCAGGACTTTGTTGTGTGCAGCTTGTGATACCGGTTTCGGAAAACCGAAAGCACCCCCTCCATACCTAAGCATTCACAAAAAAAAAATAATAATAAACTCATTAAATTCAAGTACAATCTCTCAACAGACATAAAGTTCATAGTATAATCAAACATTAATTAAACATACTGGATAATTTATTGGCTTCATGTTCATGTAACTTTGCAGCAAATGCATTGAAGTTTCTACTGTAGCTGTGTACAAGGGATTCCTCAGCATCAAGCTCACTGTTCCATTATGAAAACATTACTGTTTATGGAAAGTGTAATAGAGAAAAGATAAAATAGAACAAACATAAAAGAATACAAAGATTCATACAAGTCTACGTTTTATTGTGAATGTAGAGATTACAAAAAGTGGGCTCTCTCTCATAGAAGCTGTTAAGATCACAAACACTAAAATCCTGAAATAACTCTTTTAAGTATAAAGATCCGAAAAGTATCAAATCAGATCAACATAGACTCAAACACAAATGTCTGGTTGGGACTGCCTTGCCATTTCCCCACCCCACTAATCGGGATGTGAGAGTTGCCATTTGGTAATAAATATTATTTGGGTTGAATTCAAGATACAAGCACAACATTGTCCTTAGTCCACTTATTTGGGTTGCATAGGAACACAGAAATTTTTCCAAAACACAATCAGTTCTTCTGGGAACACAGAAACTGATCACAGAATCGGAGTACTGTATTCATCCAAATCGACACACAACCAGGATGAATGCAGTGTGGCTTTCATACATATATTTGCAAACATAAACACATACATAGAAGTGATACTACAGATGGAAAGAAAGAGGCATAGAGATTCAACTAACCTTCCCTTCAAATTTGAGAGGACATTGATATGTGTCTGATGTATAGATTCTACATCATCAACTGCTTGATCTCTCAAGAACACAATGTAAAATTCCTGTAAATCCTATGATCAAAATCAAATTTTCAATATATATACCAGATAGTACAACAAACAGTAAGTGATTCTAACTACTGAAACCTTTTGTGTGTCACCATTTGCAGCTACAAGACTGTTGAAGATACAAATGAGAAGATGAGAAAGTGTTAGAAGGGAATGGATATATCGCTCTCTCGACATGTTTGTAGAGTTAAAAAAGCTTGAGGGTATGTTTGAATTGAGCTATCTTTGTGAAGATGAGAGTCTCTATAAATAGCTAGCAAGAAAGCCAAAACTAGTTTAATTAGAAGAAACCAACTAGGGGTAAGCATGGTTCGGATTGGATTGGATTGAGGTAAAATCATGACCAATCCGTTATCTACAGTTTCTGAAAAATTGGAACCAATCCAATTCGTTTAAATCATGGAACCAATCCGAACCAATCCATTTAAATATGGATTAGATCGGTTTAGGAACACGGATTCACATAATTAAATAACAAAAAAATATATAACACTTTAATTTTATAAAAATATAAACATAACGCTATATTAGTTCCACAATAGCAACATCTATTTCTATAATAGCGACATACTGTGCTAGAATTTAAACAATCATAAGAAAACTGGTTTCACCATAAGTATTTAGACCATTACAAATTAAAACTAAAAACTAACAAATAAAAGTAATAAAAGAAAATATTATACGGTTTTAGGTTTGAGTTTAGATTTTATATAAAATAAGAGAAGATACTATGGGAGAGGATGTATAATAAAAATATATACTATTTGTATACGGTCCGGATCGGTTCTAATCCGGAACCCATCCGTGTACTATGGATTTTTAATTTTTCAATCCGGAACCGAACCACGGATTCAAAAAACCAATCCAAACCTATCGGATTAGACTAGACTGGATCGAATTACGGATTTCACGGATTCCTCACTCAGCTCTAAAATGATCAACAACAACGTCTTAAGCACAAAAACAGGCTTGACTTCCTAGTTCTAATTGCTAAGGTTTAGGTTGGCAAACCTTAGAAGAAAGATAACAAACAAATTTGGTTGTTTTGTACTCTTCGTCAAAGATAAATATGGCAAAGGATAGGCTGGGTTTTGCAGGAAACCAATGACCAAATCGCTACCTATTATTCTAAAAAATTTGAAACTAAACCAAATAATAAATATTGTGGAATCAAATCAGATTAAACTAGTTTGACGTGGTTTGATTCGATTTGGAATCACTGTTTATAATTACATGCCATCATCACAACATGTTCAAGAAAATATTGTTTAATAAAAATATCAAGTAACCAGATTGTTAATAAATTATTGTTCAAGCAACCATTGTCAAGCGGTAGTCCTAGCTATGAGATGAGAGAGTCCACTGTTGAGTGACTGAGGGTTATGATATGATGTTAATTAGGTTAAGTTTAGTATAAGTATTATACGAGACTGTGATAAGGTATTTCAGAATTTACGATAAGTAATGACTTTTATATATATATATATATATGAACAGTCAAATTTGATTATAAACTGGAACTATTTGTACAAAATTTTCAACTTAATCATATGATTACAATTCACGTATTTTTAAGAAATGTGACCAAATCGTGCATTAAAAAATTAGGTTTGATATGGACTAGACAAGTTTATGATTTTTTTTGATTTTTTGAATTGCCCCAAAAATTGATTTTATAGTTATTTTGTTGTATAGAAACGATTTACAAATATAATTTTTATATGCAAAATTTATTCAGAGTGATGTAATAGTGTGTTTGAGGATACATGATGGTGTATTGCGCCTAAGAAACATAGGTGCTGTCACGCACATCTTTGATCATTGGATCAATGAACTTACTTTTCTAAAGAACAAACATTTGTGGTTCTATTTCTTGTTAAAGTTCTCTTCCACATTTGTTGTATGAAAATTTTACCAACATAAATTTTACGCAAAATTTATTCAGAATGATGTAATATATAGCATGTTTGAGGATACATGATAGTATCCTAGGCCTAACAAATGTAGGCTCCAACATGTACGCCTCAAATCATTGGATCAACGAACTTATTTTTCTAAAAATAAATCACTTTCTATATTTTATTAACCAAAGTGAGTCACATATCATTATGGGCACGCTGTTTGTTAATAACAAATCATCAATTACTATTACTATATCAGAAGAACTAAATTTGAGTATTCATCCACTGATCAAACAGTTAGAATTCTAATCAAGAACTTAGTATGTACTAATACACATATGTAAACATATCATATACATATCTTTATCAAGTTAAAGTGGCTTGTAAACAAAGAGCAAATTACATCAAGAACACTTTGCTTGAATCCTAATACAAGTCAAGTCATTTTCTTTGTTTCTATTAGTAGCAATGTCAGAAGAATAAAGTTTTCTAAATGAGAGCTTTGTTAAATCGAATTAACGGCTGAGTTTTGCCTAATTTCAGAAGTAATTGGTTTGGTTGCGAAATTAATTAAGAAAGATATGAATGAAAAACTTGAAATCTTAAAACATTTTGATTGTGTCAACTTTGAAGTAACAATCTTGTCATGACCAAGAACCACGAATTGAGGAAAACCTCAACTATTCAGTGACATGTACTAGTAACTGAATTATTTGGATTATCATATTGTTTGCGTTGAGTTCTACGCAGCGAGAACAAGGTGCCCAAAATATAAAATGTAGGGATGGTAATGGATAACTATCCTGTGGGTATCCATGGAGACTCAACTCAAATACATGGATTTTTTCCTCTTTTTCTTATCCATTTGGTAGGGTAAGTGATATTCTTTAAATATCCACAGGGGATGGGTTGGGAATGGGTACCTACTAATTTTCCCATTTTTTTTTTTTTTTAAGATTCACAACCAAAACTAAATATACATTAAATCTTTTTTCTTTTTTTATTTATTTATTTTTTTAGGTTCACAATTTTTTTTTATTTTTTTTTTATTTTTTTTTTAAGATCCACAACCAAAGCTAAATATACCTCCAATCTTTTTTTTATTTTATTTTTAAGGTTCACAACCAATTTTTTTTTAATTTTTAAGATTCACAATAAAAACTAAATATACATTTAATTTTTTTCCTTTTTTTTATTTTTTTTAGGGTTCACAACCATTTTTTTTTTTTTTAAGATTCACAACCAAAGCTAAATATATATTTAATTTTTTTTTCTTTTTTTTTACCAAAGCTAAATATATATTTAATTTTTTTTTATAAAGGTTCTGACTTTGTTATATAAATTTAAAGGTTCTGACTTTTTTATAAAGGTTCTGACTTTGTTATATACTCCATGTGTGGAAACTTTATTTCCATTTATACTTTTTAAAAAAAAAAAAATTTAAATTCTGAAAAGAAAACAACTTCCAATCGTTTGCCATATCGCTGCAATATTTAAGGTAATTAATTGATGGTTATCAATTATACATGGAACTACATGGTTGGAAGAGCTAAAGGTTCTGACTTTGTTATATAAATTTAAAGGTTCTGACTTTTTTATAAAGGTTCTGACTTTGTTATATAAATTTAAAGGTTCTGACTTTTTTATAAAGGTTCTGACTTTGTTATATACTCCATGTGTGGAAACTTTATTTCCATTTATACTTTTTTAAAAAAAAAAAAATTTAAATTCTGAAAAGAAAACAACTTCCAATCGTTTGCCATATCGCTGCAATATTTAAGGTAATTAATTGATGGTTATCAATTATACATGGAACTACATGGTTGGAAGAGCTAAAGGTTCTGACTTTGTTATATAATTTATAGATATTCTAGTATTGGTTGTGAATCTTTAAAAAAAAAAAGATTACATATATAATTTAGTTTTGGTTATAATTAAATATATATATTTTAGAAGAGTGGTAACTCAGCAATTATATAAATTTTTTTTTTACCAAAGCTAAATATAATTTTTTTTGTTACAAAAAAATAAAAATAAAATAAAATATAAAAAAAAATTGTTACCATAAATATTTTAAAAGAAAGGAAAAAGATTGAAGGTATGATTAGTCTTTGTTGTGAACCTTAAAAAAAAAAAAAAAAGTGGTTGTTAACATTAAATATAAAAAATAAAAAATGTGGATTAAAGTGGGTTGGGGAAATCATACTCCATATAAAAAATGGGGTAGGGTGGTACCCATGGGGAAGTGGGGATGGGGATGGAAATTTATTATAGGGGAATGGGGATGGGATTAATAGTCACCCATTGCCCCATATTCCATATCCTAAGCTGAGTTAAGAATGAGACGCTTATTCTCAGGTTTAAGACCCCGAGTATGGTGCTTATGACACTATCAGGGAATTGGTTACTTAACATCATAGGTCGACGCCTAAAAGTCCTATGCGAATCAATAGACTTTAGCAAAACATAGTGGAGTCACACAAAAGATGAAAATGAGGAAGGAGCATGCTTATTACAGGTAGCAAGAAGAGAGATGGACAAAGTGGCAACATATGAAAAGATCAAGAAAGCAAGAATATTGAACAATCACAAGATTGATCAAAGTTATGCACGAGGGAAGTATCTTGGCATGATGAAGATGATCGAAGCGGCTACTAGATTTGGACGATGCAACATAGAAATGCTTCAAAACTAATTGGCAAGATTGGCCAACTACAACAAAGATTATTGGTTAGAAGAAGACCAATTGAGAGCAATATTGTAACATAACGATACAAGATGAGCAATTGAGAAGAGGGATTTCCAAGCTTCGTGAGGTGCAATGTGATGAGAAAGTGAACCGCAGTGGTACTTAGAAGATAGCTAGAATTTTGAAGAGCAATGGGATTTTAAGCAGTCTTCTACCAGATGTTGTTAGAACTCGAAGAATTTTTTAGCAAAAAAAAAAAAAGAAGAAAAGAATAGACCTTTTTTGGAAAAAAAAAAACAAAAGGCGTACTAGGAGATAGTGCAACGCAAATTATGTAAGGAAGTGGATGCTACTCTATCACATGAAGTTGACTCTGCACTGTTCTTAATCCTTCAGAGTCAGATAATCCAAAAGTCTTAGTAAAGAAGTTAAGGGAACAAACAAAAGAAGAAGTAAGTTGGAGAAGTGATAAAGCTGCCAATAGACCAATATTGTAAGGCTGTCAAGCCACAATCCAAGGATAAGTAATGGCAGCTTTGCAAGATAGAAAAGCACGTAACATTATAACGGAAACACCAAAACTTTACAATTAGAGTGTGTTGATAGAAGAATTAAAGTTACATCAAAGTAGTCAGCAAGTTAGCATTGCTTGGATACATAAGCC